ATTTGGAAAAACATTAATTCAAATTAATTTGAGTTTCAAATTAGTGTAGAGTTTTCGGATTAATGTACACTAATTCGAAGCTCGAAATTCGTGTACATTAATTTAATATGAGACTTTGTATAATGCGTTAACGAGGGAAATTAATTTTTTCACGAAAAAATGAATCAGATTAATGTGCATTAATTTGAAATATATTTTTCTATTTCTTTTTTCATTTATTCAAAGATTTAAATTGGTGCGCATTAATTTTGAAGGCCAAAAAGCTTTTTAAATTAATGTGAACGAATTTCCTTTCAAATTTGTTCAAATTCCTTTGAATCTCGAAATTAGTTTGCATTAATTCGAAAGTATTTAAAAGTTCCAATGGGATGTTGGAGTAATCTATATCTTTTTTAGACTAAAATCCGAGTAATTTCTCGCCAATAAAGCATCCTTCAAAAATCAGCGATGGATTACATAACCTTCATTTCATTTATTTAAATAGATCATACTATCGAGATACATATCCAAAAACTTGAGAGTTTATAAAATTGTACATATCCCACACTAACTAGCGTACAAATATATCAGCAAACAAAAAAAAGAGAGGAAGTTGTTGTTGTTTTTACCAGTGGACACACAAATGGGGAAAAAACAAAAAGACAGAACACATTTTGGTATAACAGGGTTTTTTCTCATGTTTCTTTCATGTGAACGACAAAATAAATGTATGATTGGATAGCTTATGAAATCCTTTACGAAATGTGTGAGAGATAACTGTTAATAATTCCTACATATACAATATAGTAGGCAGTTCAGCTGTTGTAGCGTTTTTTTCTCTCAAACAAGAAAACATAAATTTTTCTATTATATACCATTGTGAAGCTCATGAAATTAGCTAGAATATTCAGAAATACTCTAATAATCTAGAAATTTGCTGGCATATTCAGAACATCTTTTTCTACAAAAACACACCTTTATATTTTGTGTTCTATACCGTTCTAATGCTCGTCCAATTTTCTACAAACTAAGCTGTTCACGACATCTTGACCAGTAAGTTCAGTTCTGTAATTTCAAACGTGGGGTTGATTTTTCTGAGAATCGCAAGTACTGATATTAGGCAACTTGAGATAACCTCTAAAGTAAATGAAAATATATTATCGTCCATTCTGAGGCTTGTGGTAATGTTGCTTTGGAGTTAGAACACTAAAACATTCGTACCTATTTGCGTTAGAGATTTTCACAGGGATTGCAGATCTATGACCTACTGAGAAAAATTAGTTTGGCGTTCTTTCAGTGTTCTGTGAAAAATCTATCCCAAGAAGTACTTTTATTTTACTACTTTCATTTGTTGACAAAAGATACTAGTACGTATAGCTGTAAGTAACTACTCCTTAAAAGATAGTTACCAAGTATAGATACGCATATGACAAACGCATTATATATCCAACACATGTTACTTACTTAACTAAATAAGTCACAGTGTTGCACCTCGACACAGGAGAGCGTACAGGTATAAAGAATAGTATCAATAAGTAAAAAAAAAGATAACAATATTTATTTTTGGGTATATATTCTATATACAAGTATCACTATTATCACAACAACCATGCCTCCGACAAATACATTAGTAAAAGCTGCTGATGAACATGAAACCGTTGTAACATTTGAAAAAAAAAATGTTAATACTGTAAATGTACCAAGTGTTAAACATCCACTTGAACCATTGACTATTGATGAGATAAAGTTAGCTGTTGATATATTAAAAAAACATACAAATGTAACGTCGACAACGCGTTTTGTTTCTATTCAATTAAAAGAACCACAAAAACAATTTGTCCATGATTTTAAAGGCCATGGTGAATCGACAATAATTCATCGTCAAGCATGTGCCGTATTATTTGATAATAAAATAAATTCATGCTATGAGGCAATATTATCATTAACCGATGAAGAAATTTTAGCATTTGAACATATACCTGGTGTTCAACCAACAATGACTGTAGATGAACAAGTTGAATGTGAACAAGCCGTACTACGCTCAGAAGAATTTCACCAACTGGTTAAAAAACATTATGGTATTGATGATATGTCATTGATTATGTGCGATATCTGGTCAGCAGGTTATTATGGCGAAGAAGAAGAACGTACAAAACGATTAGCAAGACCTCTATGCTTTGTACGATCCGATCCAACTGATAATGGTTATACACGTCCAATTGAAGGTTTAAGACCGGTAGTTGATTTAAATGAAATGAAAGTAATTCGTGTCGAAGAATATAAGCATTACCCATTGCCTCATGTCACATGTAACTATGATGGTGATCGTGTAGCAAATATAAGAAAAGATATTCTCCCACTAGAAATTATTCAACCACAAGGTCCAAGTTTTCAAGTTGACGGAAATCAAATTACATGGCAAAAGTGGCAATTTGTTATTGGTTTTAGTATGCGTGAAGCACTTACATTACATCATGTACGATATGAAAATCGTTCAATTCTTTATCGTGCATCATTAACAGAAATGGTTGTGCCCTATGCCGATCCATCACCTCAGCAAGCACGTAAAAATGCATTTGATGTTGGAGAATATGGCCTAGGTTGTTGCACAAATAGTCTGGAATTAGGCTGTGATTGTTTGGGTCAAATTAAATATTTTGATGCGAATTTATGTACCAGTCGTGGTGAACCATTTTTAATCAAAAATGCTGTATGTTTGCATGAAGAAGATGCCGGTGTATTATGGAAACATACTGATAGACGTTTATGTATACCAGAAGTAAGACGATCTCGACGTTTAGTTATATCATCAATAGCCACAGTTGAAAATTATGAATATGCATTCTATTGGTATTTATATCAAGATGGAAATATACAATTTGAAGTTAAAATGACTGGTATCCTGTCATTGGGTGCTCTACCACCAGGAGAAAAATCACCGTATGGTAAGTATGTATGTGCTATTTTATACAATGTATTTATAAACCTAAAACTTTTTCAACACGTTGTAGGTACCTTGGTTGCACAGCAACTCTACGCTCCATACCATCAACATTTTTTTAATGTTCGACTCGATTTGGCTATTGACGGTGTGAATAATACTGCTTATCAACTGGACGTTATGGCAGACGAAGATGGACCAAATAATCCATTTCATAATGCATTTCAAGTTAAGAAGACCCGTTTAGAGCATGAAAAACAAGCCCGTGCAAACTTAAATTTAGAAACAGCCAGAACATGGAAAATTGTTAATGAAAATGTTTTAAACAGTTTAGGTGAACCGGTCGGTTATCGATTTATGCCCGGAGATAATTGTGTACCATTTGCACCACGCACAGCATGGTGGAGAAAACGTGCAGCATTTGTTAACAATCATGTTTGGATAACACCATATCGTGATAATGAACGATTTGCTGGTGGCGTGTATCCAAATCAAAGTCAAGGTGATAAAGACACTCTTTGGCATTGGACAGAAAATGATCGTTCAATTGATAATCAAGATATTGTTTTATGGTACACATTTGGTCATACGCATATACCAAGACCAGAAGATTATCCAGTAATGCCGGTTGCATGTGTTGGTTTTATGTTAAAACCAAATGGGTTTTTTGAATTAAATCCAGCAAATGATTTACCACGCGCACCGAAAAAAGATGAGAAAGACAGTTGTTGCCAATAACTTTGGATTTTTTTTGTCAATCAATTTCACGATTATTTCAATAAAATATCGATGTTCATAACTTCAATTTTCAAATTTTCAAAACGTTTCCAAAAGGTACAGAAGAAAATTTTCTTTTGCAAGCCTGCAAAAGTTGATAAAAAATAAATATATATATATAAAAAACATGTACCTTTGAGTCAGAAGGAATCGACCTCTCAACATTTTGAAGTTTGCGATTCCCACGCTCAAAAATTCAGTTGAGTCTTGCAAAAGATTTGCCGTTTAATTCTTTACAAAATGGTTATAGAAGATGATCCTGAGAGTCGAGATGCCGTCTTAATTGAACAGAAATCGAAATGCCCCAAAACTTTCATAAAATAAAAGGTTTTCTGACGACGATTTTGAATTGTGAAACCTATGTCCAAAGTAACAGAAAATGATCTCAGATCGTTCGTTGCACGTTTAGATGTACTCTATCAGTTGGGGCAAGATTCATTTCATCCCCATCTATTCGATGTGGTAAAAATGTTTAGTTAATAATTGACAGCCAAAGATGAACAAAATGGTCGTTTCGATTATTTTCTGGGAAGTGACATCAGATATTTCGCACGCGAATCGAATAGATAAAAGATTTCTCTGCAAAATAGCGTGCCTGATCGGTTCATTTGTAAGTGAACATGTTTATTTTACAAGTAACTGTAAAATGCATGTTGAAAAAAGTCACGGTATTTTTGCAACAAGTATAATTGAAAACACGGAAATAACGAGAGAAAGTGTCAAATTCCGTAGTAGTTAGTGGTTAGAAAGTCCCGTGCTCTTTCACTACAGCTAACAATATTCGACACAAAACGTGTGCTCGAAAAGTGTACTTTATTGAATAATAATAAAAAAAAGTGTAAAACAAATCAGTATATCTGGCATTGTACAAAACTGGACTGACGCGAAAAATAAAACTATAAAGGAAAAAATAGAAACTGGATAGTAAAAAAAGTTATTATTGAAAACACGGAAATAACGAGAGCAAGTTCGCATGATAGTCACTCGGTAGAGAATTTCAAGGGCCATTATATAGTCCAACGTTTTGCTCTATTCCATGAGGACTTATACTGATGATACACTTTTTCGAGTTAAATTTTTGAGGTTGTTGTTCAATTTAGACGGTATCTCAAGTCTCAGGATCACCTTCTATATATCGTTTTGTAGAGACTTAAACGGCAAACCTTTTGCAAAAAGCAGCTGAGTTTTAGAAAGTGTGGATCGCAGGTAAACTTCATTATGTTGAGTGGTTGGTGTCTGCTGTTCCACCGGTTATATCTATGTGTGCGAAATGTTAACAGCAACAAATCAACTATTACCTTCTGTAGATTATATTTATTGTGCCACATTTAAAGTTACTCAAACAGTTAATTTCATTCGAAACTTATCATTTAATGGTCACTATACGCCAGTCTATGTAAAAAGATATATGTGATTGACAAACCGCATTTGTGAAAATAAACCGACAGAATGTACATTTTCCTTCCGAGAAATGAATTATCAGATCCTGTTGTTGTTGTAGCTCCCCTTATCTGGCGCAAAACCAAACAATTAATATTTTGTGAGTATAAGGGCAATGATTTTTCGATGAAAATTCCAACCACTTTTCGCTCCTCTTCTTCAATTAATTTCTTCTAACCAATCATCTACTAAAAAAGTGACAGTGTATATGAAGTAACGAAAGAAGAACTTCTCGATAATAGAAATATTTGTCTTTTTCATCAAAATTAAGTGAAGGAGAGGAACGAAAAGTGGTTGGAATAGTAAAAAGAAGTGTGGTTAGAGCGCGTCAAGCTGAACAAGAATATGTGTGTTTTAATCTTTCCAATCAAAGTTTAAATGTTGAAAATTTGGTAAAACAGCTTATTTTTTAAAAAAGAAGGTAAAATTCGAACACAGTGTGTTTGGGAAACCTGGACTCGAAAAAAAATAGAGCAGGAATAATTGCAGCGATTTTACAAGAATTGATAGAGGCACAAAAGGACCTCTCCAAATGTCCAACGCCGACTTGAATAATCTTTTGCGTATGGATAATGTTCGAGTTTTTTGGTGTCGGTTTAAGCCGAATACGAATTTCAAACCGAATATTAATGTTTACATCTTAACGACTTAACGAACGAATTTATCCCAGCAGAAACGGCCCAATTTTTTGGGTTATGTATCTACAGAAAGGTATAGGAAGAAAGGTATTTAATTTTAATGGTTTCGAGAGCGAGCATGTCGTCGCTTTTAAAAAGTAAATGATCTATTGTTACGTCGGCTATTTGTAGTATAGACTGAAACATCTTTAACAGTTATGAGTTATGAACATTGAACAATACACTTTGCGCAAAAAAAGAAAAGAGAGGTAAAGACTCGCTTTTATATCCAGACTCACACTCGGGGGCAGCCATTAAATGTCTTCTAACCGAGTCATCGTTCAACTGTGTGAAACCTAATCTAAAGTGCGAAAAGTCTGTTTCCAAAATTCTGTCAGTAACATAGTGGAAGATTCAATATCTGTAAAAAGGTTGTGGCATTTTTAATTTAAATGCTACAGTTTTTCGAATTTTTGTAGATGGATTGATAAGCTGTTCCATAGTTGAATGGTTGATGGTAAAAAACGAGGTATGCACTGGTGTCGGAAATCGATATTCGGTTAAAGCCGACAGCGAACAACTCTCAAACATTTTTATTTAAGGTTTTAAAATGATATAAAGAGTGAGTACATAACATCTATTCACTATTGTCAAAGAAACATCTGATTTTATCTGTACGGGTTTCGGTCAACCGACAATCAAAAAGCTAAAGCCGCTAAAACCAGATGAAAGCACACAAATTTACATCTTAACGACTTAACGAACGAATTTATCCCAGCAAAAACGGCCCAATTTTTTGGATTATGTATCTAGACTCAGCAGCACATACAACTAAATACACGTGGAGCTGAATCTAGATAAAAAACTCGCAAAACTGGGTCGTTTTTGCTTGGGCAATATCTGGTATTTGCCCCATGAGGCAATAATCTTTTGCGTATGGACAATGTTCGAGTTTTTCGGTGTTGGTTTAAGCCGAATATCGGTTTTTTCGTATCGGTTTTTCGGTTTGAAAACCGAAACCGGTGCGTACCAATATAAAACTTGTGAGGTTATTCCTTTCAGAATCGTTTTGCATCCAATGGTTAATAGCCAAAGAAGAATGTAACTGTTACACACACTTTATTTCAGTAAATTAACATCTATATATAGTATATTTTAGCTACAGGAA